CAGGTGCACAATCCTATTCTACAAATCACAAATTAAGAAACTCGTACGCTCACATTTTTGCTACAGTTGCTGCAGTGAATATGGTGCAAAAAACGCATTTACACACCTGCATCAAAAAAATGTGAAGTCACGGAGAAATTTTGCTCATCCGCAAATCAGTATGTGAATTAATCCAATGAGAGTTGCACACTTGTAGAATATTTTCTCACAAATATCTTGCATATTTTTCTAGCACAAACACAAGTACACAACTACAGCTGCTTGAATCTGCTGCAACGAATCTCAAACACTGTTTTTCGCTTTCAAGTGACAAGTTTCCAAGGGGGTAATCCACATAGACAGTAAAAGAAATGAACACAGCGACCCCATAGATTTCAACGAAGAAAAGTGAAGCCAATTAGAAGCACTCACTTCCTGATGGCTGAGCGAACTGCGCAGGCTCAAACTGAGCTTGACGACGTAGATGTGAGCTACCTGTCTGACAGTTGTAAGCAGAGGCGGCGCCAGGGGGGGTCTTGGGGGGTCTCAAGACCCTCCCAAAAAATGCTTTGACCCCCCATTTGACCCCCCACCCCCTTCCTGATTAAAAAATATATATATCCGGGATAAATATTTAAAAATGTTTATCTTCAAACTACGCAGAACAATAATAATTAATAATTTATTCGACATACAAAATATATAAACATAAGAATCACGTTGCCTCTAAGCTGCGCGCGTGCGCGGTCGTGCACTTCTGATGCCGCGGCCGCGCAGAAAAGAATAAAATGCCACGCGGAGGACTGACGCGAAATGTGTGGGGAAATCCATTTGATTGTATGTGAGAAATAATTGCAGTGCTCAAACTGGTGAGTGCAGTTAACATGTTTCAAAGAAAGAGAATGATGTGAGCGCGTGTGATTGGCAGTGAGTCGTGTGTGCGGACCAAATATCTCAATACGAGAGGCAACGAGAAACGCAAAGACATGTGAAATAAAATCACAATATCATGTTTTAAAGAAGAGTGGTTTGATTAAAGTGGTGGAAATAACGGATGATGGACACAGAACGGTAGGCTAACAATTACACACACACCCGCGTGCAAACTCAAAATACATCATTAGTTTACAATAGATTTAAATAGTTTCAGGCATGGTTAGATTAGGCTACTATAAAAGAGTTCACATTGACTTTTCTTGAAAATATTTAGCTATTAGATCTAGCTATTTACAGTAAATGCTTCAGTTTGTTTTCATATTATAATAATATAATATGAAAACAAATTGAAGAATTTAAACTATCACTTCAAATACTTCAATTCATTTTTTTTATATTATATTATATTGGGCATATATTTTATTATATTATAAGCCTAAATAAAGAATCTCACAAGGGTATTGTTTAGGGCTCATTGCCATTAAAAAGTTTGAAACCCCCTGCTAAAAACAATTTAGGCTAGGAAATTCATAAGCTATAAACAATAATTTAACTTTGATGGTTTAATGCTGCCTGTACAATTAATTGGCTGTACAAAAACACTTTATGGTTTTCCTAAACCATCTCAGTGTAACAGCTTAATTTTCTTTTATAATATATTATATTATTGTAAAGAATTGAACTGTCCTGCAGAAGATTTTGTAAATAATTTTTCATAGGATTTCTTAGTATAGACTGGAAACAGAGGACACCGAGGAATTGGAGGATGAGGAGGATACTATTTTGTAAATATGTTTTCTGTCATGGGTGTGGCTATGGCAATTAAAGTTCGAGCATATTGTTTGCAAACTGCAATTGATTAATTAATTAAAAACAAAAAAACGTCGGTGTGTGAATGGGTGAATGTGAGGCAATATGTAAAGCGCTTTGGTGGCCATTGGGTCTGTGAAAGCGCTATATAAATGCAGTCCATTTACCATTTACCATTTGTTAAGTAGCAGCAATATGCAGTTATTAGCCGTGTCCACTGTATTTTTTTTTGGTTTTCATGAGACCCCCCTTGAAATGACCAGGACCCCCCATTGCCCCCCCAATCAAAATTGTCTGGAGCCGCCACTGGTTGTAAGTCTTCTAGTAGCTGAGCCAAGACAAATCTGAATTGAAATCTGAAACAAATCCGTTGCTGAAATATTTTGTCCCGTTGCTTTTATGGACTCTCTATCTATGGGCTTCTCCCTTGACGGTATGCCTCCATGTCCCCCCGATTGCCTCATAGATAGGTTTCTATTAGGAACCAAAACATCAGTCTCTCCCCTTCTTCGAGGACCTCCATGACGAGCTGTCTAAGTCATGGAGTAAACCATATTCTTCCCGTGTCTTTTTGCCCTCGACGTCGACTTTTTCGCCTATCGTGGGTGCAAAGTCACAGGGGTATGTGGAGATGTCGCAGGAAGAAGAGGCGCTCGCGAGCTATCTCTCGCCTGCTTCGGCATCTTCCATTAAGAAACCTACCCTCCCCACAAAACCATGTAAAATAACATCAGCATTAGTGGGTAAAGCTTATCAAGCTGCAGGTCAGACTGGTGCTGCGCTGCACACTATGGCAGTGTTACAGGCATACCAGGCTGACCTATTGAAGGATTTGAGTGCTGGCAGCACTATAGATGAGGAGTCTTTCTCTGAGCTGCGGAGAGCCACAGATCTGTCTCTTCGTGCGACCAAGCAAACGGCCCGGGCCATCGGCCATTCGATGTCTGCTTTGGTCAGCACGGAGAGGCACCTGTGGCTTAATCTAACAGGAATAAAAGATAAAGACCGGGTGTTCCTGTTAGATTCCCCAGTCTCGCCCTCTGGCCTGTTTGGCGACTCTGTCAACACAATCGTCAGCAGGTTCAGAGAGGTTAAAAAACACGAGGAAGCTTTTGTACAGTTCCTTCCTCGTCGCATGGAGGAGGGGCCATCGGCCACCCAACCTCTCCCCGGTCCTTCAAGAGCCCAGGAGGTGAAGAAGCAGAGCGTGGCGAGTCATGCTCCCCTTCAGAAAAACTGGGGACAGCCTCGTCGAGCTCAGCAACCTCACAAGCGAGACCTCAGGACCATCATTAATAAGAAGAGGAAGTCCTGATGTTCTGGCGCCCGGTCTGGTGGGGTAGCCCCCTGCGGGATGGGGCCCAAATTACATCTAAAATCATCCCATCCCGTTACCCTCACGAAACCTCTCCATCCCCGCCATCTTTGGGGCTTCGAAGGGCAGTGGTTTCGGGCGAAATCTTAGATGTTCCGTTGCTTCCTGCTGTCATCCAGGACACGGAACATCTAACATCCCCTCAACATCCTTCCGTCCTTCGGATGAGACGTTAAACCGAGGCCCTGACTCTCTGTGGTCATTAAAAATCCCATGGCACTTCTCGTAAAGGGTAGGGGTGTAACCCCGGTGTCCTGGCCACATTCCACCCATTGGCCCCTGCCAATCATGGCCTCCTAATAATCCCCATCCACTGAATTGGCTCTATCACTCTCTCTCCTCTCCACCTGTATCTGGTGTGTGGTGAGCGCACTGGCGCCATTGTACTGTGGCTGCCGTCGCATCATCCAAGTGGATGCTGCACACTGGTGCTGGTTGAGGAGAGACCCCCTGACATGATTGTAAAGCGCTTTGGGTGTACAGTAGTACATATGAAAGCGCTATATAAATGCCTCATTCATTCATTCATTCAAGAGGAAGTATTAAAATTAATTCAACTCTCGGAGAGTCTGGCAGCGTGGAAACTTCTGCCAGGCATTTCTGCGTGGGTATTAATAATCAATCATAACTTGTAATAATTAATTATGAATATTTGGATCTGTTAATAGAAATAATTTAATGTAGTAAAATTAAAATTACAATCAATCTACCTGTTCGTCCCGTGAACACTCAGTATTAATTGTTTATTAAATCTAAGAAATGTACATTTCTGGGGAAGGGAAATGTCTTTCTTACTGTACAGTACTAAGAGCCAGTAGTCAAAATCTAAATCGTAAAATAAACCTGCAAGCAGAGAATCAGAACCAAATATGTATTGAGCACAAGTTTTATTAACTAAATTACAAACATAACTAGTCAAAACACACATGCACACAAAAATGGTAAGTAACAGTATGAAACCGGAAGCAGGAAATGGAACTATGGAAAAGATCCATCTAACTATGAAAAGAACCATCAGCTTATTATTTTCAGAGCACCTCATTAAATGTACACTTGCATGGCATTTGCAGTGAAAGCATTTTGTGAAGTTCCTGAAGAAATATTTTGATGGTTCCATGAGTTACACTTCTTTTCCCTATGGGTTACACTTCTTTCCCCTATGGAATTAATTTGCATAATCAAAAGCGCACAGTTAATAGAGCTTTAAAGATTTGCCAGTGCATTTCTCACTTTCTAAACCACCATCAGAATACTGTTAGCAATATTCTAAAGAAATAGTCCAAACATGATGGAAAGACTGAACTGTCATGCAAGCATTCATTTGTACAACAGCTGAATTTGTGTAAGATGTTGCACTACAAATGACACTCTGAATAAGTATGAAATTAATGTGTTGTAGTTTACTTCAGTTTAAATGTTTCCAAACATGGTTATGAATAGATTTGGATGGATCCTTTGATTCAGCCACTGATGCTGAATCCAAATGATCCTTCAAGATTTTTTGGGTGGTTCGGGTGTAAACCTTAGGGATTAGTCTCAAGATGGGTGCAGGACAGAAACTGCCTGTGGACTAATGAGAACTCCTTTCTGTGCTTGAGGTGTCTGTCAGTTGTCCTACCCTGCCATAAAACTGGGCAGTGGAACATGCTGTTCACTACACAATGAACTCTGTTAGAGGGCTACATATTGCACCTGTCGAGTAATAAAATTGCCATATCCACGCCGCTTTTACAAAAAATCAAAGCCCTGAGTTCTCCATCTATGAAAAGCTAAGCCAATGTTGATTCTTGTTTTATTACGAGCTTTGTACTGTTCTCTTTTTGCTGTCTTTTTAATTTTAAAAACGGGTGTTTCATGTCAATCTTCCTCGCTCCTTGTGTCATAATCGGCTACAAGCTTGATGAATCCAAGAAAGTTTCCATTTCTTGCATTTCCGATCAGGGCATTTTTACCTCGTAAAGGTAAGTTCCTCTCTGCAAGGAACAAAATGCAGTCCAGCACCCTAGTCCGCACTTTCTTCCATCTCGTCCTTTCTTCTTCCATCGCAGCTTGTAGTTGATTGAAACTGTTTCAAGTTCTTTCCACGCTAGGTAAGCGTCAGTGTGGTTGGGTCCTGTTTCATGTTGCTTTAATCTACTTGACAGACATCGCCAGTTACCGTATTCTTTCACAAAGCGGCTGTTTCTCCACCAAAAACTGCACACAAAGCAGTATACTTTGTTTTCTTTATGGAAAAACATCAACCAGTCCCGTTCCACTCGTTCCCAATTTGTTAATCGTCTATAGCAGTAGGCTTTTGAAAAACATCTGTTACTGTCTTGTGATCTTGGGAATGAACCATCTTGGAATTTCGGAGGAACTTTTTTTAAAACAAAAATGAAACATACTTAAGCTTAAACTGGTCTGTGATGCTATTTTCTTCTGGAAACAAACTTTTTTGCATTATTTTCCTGTTATCTCTGTAAAGCTGCTTTGAAACAATCTTTATTGTAATAAATAAATGTGACTTGACTTGACTTGACTTGTCCTGCTTCACTCTCACCGACAGTTGGTATAGCTTGTCAATTTGCGAAATCAATGTGAAATGTTAAGGCCTTACTCTCGCAAATCTGTAGTCCTCTTGTCTCTTTGAGGTCGTCAACGCTGGTGCTGCCACTGACTTGAATAATGTCCTTTACTGTTTCGTATCAGCAGATTGTTGCTTGTTTATTGCTAATCTGCTGTCCTGTTTCGCTGATAGCGTCCGTACTGAGGCTGTAACAAGCATCTCCAATCTTTCCCCGTTTGTCACTACAATCACCTCCAATATTTTGTATATTCTTATTGGTAAGGACCCAATTCGTAAGGGAAACTTTCATCCTTTTCACGTCTTCATTCCTACTTTTTTTACATTTTACATTTTTCGCTTTTGTGCTCCTGACAGGTGCTTCTTTCCATCCATCGTGTTCTTTTTTGTGTGCTGTTAACGTCATACGCTGTATTTTGAAGTGACGAGAGCGTGCTCACGTTCACTTCTTACTTTCTATAATTCACAGATTTTAATTTTATTTCACTACAATATTATTAGCGTGTTCGTGTATGTAAGAAAAAAATAACACAAAATAAAAAATATGTATATAATCCAAAGTCGTAATTTGGGGCCCCCTAGCGTCCTGTGGCCATATGCCTGGCATACTCTGTACCCCCGTAACGCCCCCCCTGGGCATACCATAGTGAATCAGGGTAAGACAAAAACTAGTTTTGGAAGAAGCATTGTTGATGTATTATTTAAAAGTTGTTAATTTTGGGGAAAAAAGTTAAATAGTGCACCTTTAATAAGAATATTCAATAAATAACAACATTTTCTTTTGATTATTTTACAGCGTTCACACTTAAGAAACTAATACAAACAAGATTACATAGAAATAATTGGTAACACTTTACAATACGGGTGCACTAATAAGCATTAATTCATGCTTAACTAATGCACAGATAATACTGAATTAATGTGTAACTAATGATTATCTAAGCTATTCATTAATGATTACCACATTAGGAACTAATTAAGAGTCTGTAAGGTTAATGGATTAGTTCATACATGAATTGTTATTAATTAAATATGTAATTGTGGATTAATTCCCTAATAACTCATTTTTTTAACTAATAGTGTTAATTAATGTTAATTACCAGAATGAGCCAAAGCCTTGTATTTCAACTTCCAGATAATACAGGTACACTAATATGCATTAATACGTGATTAATTACTTCGTTGTTAGTGCAAATTCATGTGTAAATTACTACAATTTCTAAATGACTAGTTAATAATGATGTGCCTCAACAAGTAAAGTCATAACATAATGATACCTTTGCAAATCATTAGCTAATGATTAATTAAAGCAGACAACTGGAAGTTGAAGTGCATAGCTTTGACTAATTGTGGTAATTAACACATTAATTTACACTATTAGTTAATAAAATATGTTATTAAGGAATTAATACATGATGACACGTTTAATTAATAGCAATTCATGTATTACTTAATCTATTAATCATATAGACTCTTTATTAGTTGCTGATGCAGTAATAATTAATTAATGGTTTAGTTCTTCATGAATCATACATTAACTCATGATCATCTGTGCATTAGTTAAACATGAATTAATGCATATTAGTGCACCCGTATTGTAAAGTGTTACCAAATAATTTTTTACCACCTCAATTAGATGCTTCCTTTCACATCCAATACAGAATAGTAGATAAGACGGCACCCCTATTATTTTAAAGTTTAAACATTAGTTTTACACAATTACTTACATAGACGATTTTCACTTATTTGATTTAGAAGGACTACACCTGTTTGTTAAAAAACTGCATCTGCTAAGTTTTATTTTAGTATGTAATACAAACCTTTTTGAAGAGAATCCTGGTGGGATGCTGCAAATTTAGTGTTCACGTGTATTTGACTGTAACATTCAATACTTTCTTCTCAACAGGATACTGGTCATTTACTGAGGGCATCTCATGTGAATATGTTCTAATCCAGGAACAGAAGACTTGGTATGGGGCACAAGCTTATTGCAGAGAGAACCACATTGACCTGGCCACTGTTCAAAATGATGATGACTGGGCAAATCTACGAGACACCGTTTATAATATGGCTAAGATGGCTTGGGTTGGACTGTACAATGACATTGATAGCTGGCGTTGGTGTTATAAGGATGAGAAAATTACATTCCAGATATGGTCCACTGGAGAACCAAACAACTACGCTGGACATGAAGCATGTGGTTTGATGCAGTATAGGACATGGAATGATTGGAATTGTAATGAACTATTTCCATTTTTTTGCTTCAATGGTAAGATATGATGGAAGCAAATGCTAATAATGTGACTAATGTTCGCAATGTTGACAATGCTGTGAACAGCTTTTCATACTAACTTATAACCATAAAAAAAAATCATTCATAAACGTGAACAGCCTTTCATACTAAGCTATAACCATAAAAATCATTCATAAACATTGAATCTCTGAGTACCAACCATTAGGAGTGGGTGATATGGCAAATTATTTAATGCAGGCTATTTTGCAAGTTACTGAGCAGTACGGCCAAAATACTTAACCTTTTTTAAAAATAAAGTCATACAAGTAAACTCTTTCCCCGCCATTAATGGAATTTTCCGTCATTTATGAGACAACGCTCCCCATGAATCGCTCTCGCCATTGGCGGAAATTTCCGACTATTATGCATCTTCTGAAAGAGTACAGAATTTCCAAACCAAAAAGACATGTAAAGAAGCAGCAGAAACAAGCAATAACATATCTAAGCAGATGCATATGCAAAATAACTTGACCGTCAACATTAAACAGCATATCATTCAAAACTGCCTAATGTTACCAAATGCAATTTCGACCCAGGACGAGCTATAGGACTGGATTTTCGATGGATTTTTTTTTATCATGGTTCTGAATCCGATCCAAATGTAGTCTTTGACAAAAGCGCGTTTTTCGTAGCTTTTTGTTCAAAATGTTGCTTTTTTTATGAAACTTACCTACATTCAAGTGTTGGTAAAAAAAAAGAATGCGTGAAGCTAGAGTAAAACAGGATTTTATGTTTAAAAGCATTGGGTCTGTTCTTTCTTTTGATATATTGCATGTTCAGATTTTCATACAACAATAATCTAGGGACCATGAAACTTGTGATTTTTTTTTTTTTAAAGAGCTGGCGCTGGCTGGCAACTATTTTCAAAAACGCTGTCGGTGAAATAGTTAATAAGTCATAACAGAAAAAAAATAATGATAGACCATTTAGGCCAAAGTAGGGATGGGTGATATGACAACAATTTTATTTAACTTATTTTAAATTTCATTTTATTTAATCTATTATTTATTTTATCTTTGTTATTTAAAATAGGAACACATATGAAAACAATAGGTCAAATACAATATAAGACACAAAAGAGAATATAGCTGCAAGCAGCAGTTAAGGGGCCAAGAACAACGAAGGCTAAAAATACAATCACTAGTAATATTTAGGTTCATTCTTTTTTTAACAATAGGTTTTGCTGTTACCAAATTGATGTGGTGTGGTCAGTGTGAGGAGGCAATGACACACATAAAGTTTGAGGTCAATATGTCAAATCATTCCAGAGATTCAGCCTCTAGTTCAGTTATAGCTATAGCTATACTGTATATCAGCTATAGACACGGAATCCATACATTTTAGACGGCATGGTATTGAAGACAATTCGAATTTGGTGACATTTGTTGTCTATGAGTAGTTAGAAAAATGTCAAAATATTTTTAGAAAAATGTTTTAAAGAGAATCAAAATGGCTGACAGGAAGTTACGGCTTGACCCAAGGAATCTATTAAGACCAGTTTCATTACATTAGGAAAAACAAATCAAAAGCTATTAGCATTTTTAAAATGTAGTTATATATTTTTGTCTCTAAACTTTTTGAGTGCCTTCAGGGCATGGTGCAGATGACACATACCATAACATATACCTCGTAATGATGCGGTGATGCTTTCGTAGAATATTGCATTTTGAAACAGAATTCTAAATGGCAGACACCCAAAATGGTTGATATGGAAAAATTGGGTATCGTTTGATTCAGCATGATGCACCGAATCTAAAGAGATCTCTAAAGAATCTAAAGAACAGGAGTTTTGTGATTTTTGGTTAAACTGTTCAGAAGTTATAAGAAAATATAGCCATTTTTCATATATCCTGACCACTAGCTAGCATTGTGCTGAAAATGTGCAGGTACCCTCATGTGTGTCATAACACAAACCAAGTTTGGTCAGAGCACGCTAAAGCGTTGCGAAGATATAGCCTCACGGTCATTTTGGCATGGTTATTTGATGAATCAACATGAATTCCCTAACTTTGTGTTGCCATGGTTTAAAGATGTTCTGGTTAAATTTTCATGAAATTCGGAGAAACAGACTATGAGGAGTTCGGTAGGTTATTCGGAAAAATAAACATGGAGGAAAAATTTCCTAGATGATAATGACGTCATAGGGTTCAGTCGAATCAGAAGCCAAGGAATCAGAGGAAAAAATAATTTTGTTACGGTTCAAAAGTAATTAGCATAAACGTGAGTGCAAATTTGGACAGTTGGTGGTGCTAGAGGGATAGAGTTAGAGACTAAAATCGCTGTAGTTAATGTTTCGACTGTCCTCTATCTGTGTACCAAATTTCATAACTTTCACGCAAGCTTGGGGAATGCCTCTGCATGACTGCGTCTGAAGCATGTGTTCATCTAGTCTTGATTGGTGCTGCGTCACCTCGTGACGTGTGACAGCATACCACGGAAGGTACAAAAAGATGCCGGCAACACAGCAGCGTCAGCTTCTGTCTTCAGCAAGCACTTTGTGTCAAACTGTCAGTCTTATTTAGTGTTTTTTGTCCCATTAAGAACGAATAAGCAGAATTATTCGAAGAGGGCTAAAGAAAAATCAGTTCAGTTGTTCCCTGCCGGCCAGCCACTTCAGGGCATCGGAGTATACCCGAGGTCGGCATCCAGGGGCTGGTCCCCCTAGTAGAATACATAGAGGCCTGAAGTCTCCTTCTAAATGTGTCTCAGTGGGTAGTGGGCCCCGAGCAGGGTTGGGTATTGGAACAAGAAGTGCATTAACCCTTGGCGAAGGAGGTCATAGAACGTATTCCTCCTACCGAGAGGGACTCCAGGTTCTATAACCTGTATTTCATAGTTCCCAAGAAGCATGGGGGTTGCGTCCTATTTAATAATTTTTATTTTTTTTAAAGTCAACACTTTGACAAAAATGTAATTTTCTCAGCTTTTTGTTTAAAGACTTTGTCCGGATGGGATTCAGAACGATGATAGAAATAGTAGATCGAGAGTCAATCAACATCCCCAAAGCTTCACAGTCCTATAGCTCGTCCTGCGTTGACATTTCATTCAACAACGTTAGGCAGTTTTGATTTACATGCTGTTTAATGTTGATGATCACGTTATTTTACATTTGCATGAGCAATATTCTATCACTTTTTTCAGCTTCTTCTTCTCCTGTGTTTTGATCAGGAGATTCTGTACGCTTTCAGAAGATGTGTAATAGCACCCCCTACCGTAAAACAGTGAAAACACAGATAGCCTAAAATTTCAGTTAATGGCGGGGGAAAAAGTAAAGTAGATTTGAAGTAAATTCCTAAGTACACTACCAGTGGACTAGCCTACACATAAATTCAGATACTCAGAATTAGAAACATATCTGTTTTTTTTCTTTATAAATCAATATTTTCAAACAATGTAAGTTTATAAGACAGTATGTAAAACTATGTGAAAAAAAGTATTTAATAGGCTACTCAATCAAAAGATTAAACACAACTACAAGCCAAGTATACTTAGAAAATACTTTTAAGTATATCTCGATCAAAAGATAGGTAAGTAGGCCAAATATATTTAGACCTTTCTGTCAGTATGTTAAGTATACTTAAGTGCAATGTTAAGTATATTTCTGAAAAGTATATAAAAAGTAGACTGAAAGTATACTTTCTTATTTTTAGTTTAAGAGAAGTATACTAATAGCACACTTGAATAAACTTCTTTTTCGTAAGGGCTTGGTTGGAACTCTAAGGTATTTGTGTACACAAGGCATTTCAAAACAGTGGATCATTACTTACTAAACATATCTAGCCAAATCACTGACAAATATACTCTATAATATGTACTCTATAATATTTACTCTGTGCAAAAAAAAAAAAAAAGAGAAAGTAATTTAACCAACTCTTATTACAGAGAACAGCACAAAAAGGTTTGTTTTCGTTAGCGATGCCAAGACCTGGAAGGAGGCTCAGATCTACTGCAGACGGTATTACACAGACCTGGTCATCATTCGGAATCAAAGTGTGAATAACAAGCTGACTGTGATGATGCAACCATATACAAGTGGTTGGATTGGTCTTTTCAGAGACACGTGGAAATGGTCAGATGCAACAAATGTCTCCACTTCCTCCGTTACCTGGCTGACTAAACAACCAGACATGATTACTCTGCAAAGCCCTTGTGGTGTTTCAGATGCTGGTGGTATGATCAGTTATCAGGTCTGCTCAGATGTCCTTCCTTTCCTCTGCACGCACCGTAAGTCTGATCCTCAGCTACTGATTGTTTTAACAAATGTTAGAAATCCAATTTCAGTGTTCCTAATACTCTTACTGGACTGCTTTGTTATATTCTAACAGGTACAAAGAAACAGATTGTGAGAGTGAAGATAAAAAGTGGTCATAATCTAAATGACCCTACAGTGTTGAAGGTTATCTTACAGTGGGTAAGTATTAAAGGGATACTCCACCCAAAAATGAAAATTCTGTCATCATTTACTCACCCTCAAGTTGTTGCAAACCTGTATGAGTTTCTTTCTTCTAATGAACACAAAGGAAGATATTTTGAATATATTGTGGTGCCAAAGTTCCAATCGTTCTTCAAAATATATTCCTTTGTGTTCATTAGAAGAAAGAAACTCATACAGGTTTCGGGGGACCAGAGGGCGCATTACAGAAAGATCCTAACTTTAGAATCCTATTTTATCTGTTTGGTAACGATGGCAATTTCAGTTAGGACCCAATTTAGGACAAAAGCTATTACAAAATTACATTTCTTAAGTGTATAATCTTATCTTAACTACGGATAGGAAAAGGGTATGGCTGGAACACACTCTAAAAAGTTGGTAAAGAGACTAAATAAAAGTGAAAATATTGTAGAATATCCAAGTTAAACTCTTTTGAAACAGTCCACAATAAGTAGATAAATTGGTAATAAGTGAAGGTATCGTGATTGAGTGTAAAAGGAGCATATCAGACTTTGCAAGCAAAGATGGGTCGTGGCTCATCACTTTGTGCCAAATATCATGAGAAAATTGTCAAACAATTCAAAAATCACATTTCTAAATGCAAGATTGCACCATCTACCGCACATAACATTGTGAAAAGATTCGGGGAATCCAGAGAAATCTCATGTACATGTAGGGCAAAGCAGGAAACATCAGTGGAATGTGCAATTGGGGCGGCAGTGGCTCAGTGGTTCATGTAGGTTGTCTACAAACTGGAAGGTTGGTGGTTCAATCCCCGGTTCCACCTGACCAAGTGTCGAGGTGTCCATGAGCAAGACACCTAACCCCAGCTGCTCCCGACGAGCTGGATGGCACCTTGCATGGCTGACACCGCCGTCGGTGTATGAATGAGTGAGTGAATGGGTGAATGTGAGGCAAATGTAAAGCGCTTTGGTGGCCATTGGGTCTGTGAAAGCGCTATATAAATGCAGTCCATTTACCATGACCTTTGAGCCCTCAGATGGCATTGCATGAGAAATGTCATGCTACTCTGTTAAATACAGTCACATGTGCTTAGAAGTACTTTGGAAAACCATTGTCACTTACACAGTCTGCTGCTGCATCAAGGAATGCCACTTGAATCTCAGTTACGCTAGGAGAAATCAATAGATCAGTTCTATCCAGAGATGCCAGCGAGTTCTTTGGGCCAGGGCTCATCTTAAATGATTCAAAACATAGTGGAAATCTGTGATACGGTCAGATGAGTCCACATTTCAGCTTGTTTTTGGGAACACAGACATTGAGTTCTCATTCCCAAAGACGAAATGGACCATCCAGACTTTCATCAGCGACGGGTACAAAAGCAAACATCTGCCATGGTATGGGGGTGCATCAGTGCAAACGGCAATGACACTGTAAATATGTCACACCCTCACAGCACAAAGTCTGTCTCCTGTGTTCCTCAGCCTCCTGTCACTCAAAGGGTGGGAGAAAAAAGGCTGGGACACAACAACTTGAGAGCAAAATTAAGAGAGAACACCCTTCAGGTGTCATGATTGTCTGAAGCAAGACAGCAAATGCTCAGATTGAACTAAAATCTCCTGATTGTCAAGGAAAACGTTGCCCCCAAAAGCAACCCTGAGAAACTTCCTGTGTTCTAGAGTGAAGTTCAGAAGTAAGCAGATCTCGTGATTAGGCATACACCAACATTCTTTTTTTTTTGGGGTGTCATAAAATCAGTCTCTAAGCAACCGACCATTGTGGGGAGCATGTCAGCTGTAGTTGGATTGCATATCCTTCTCTAAGGTTTAAAGAACCTAAGAAGACATATTTGATAGAAGTCACCCCACTGTTAAATAAGCTGATAGAGGCATCAGACGTTTCAAAGTGAGCACTGAGACCCATACTAGGCAATATGATTGACTGACTGTGGAGACCAGAAAATATCTACATCTGCAGTCAGCATGTGAAATTTGAGGAGCATAGATTAATTATGTGCCCTAGTTTGCTACAGACCTTCCTGAACCAGACCCTGAAGTTGCTGACTCAACTTGAGTGGCCCAGAATACACCATGAACGGAACAACAACATAGTGGTTGTAAAAACCAAGGCACATCTCCAATGCACTGAGGGCGTTGTAGCACAGAGCATGAGCGAGAAAAACTGCCATTTAAAATGCACAATTGGAGTGTTGTCAACCCAAAATGAGGTGGAAAGGAAGATTGAACAGTCTAATTTAATATGAAGTGTCTGACTGCACACCCTGTTACAACCACAACGTTGGGGTTGTGTTAACCGAAATGCAGCTTCTGTGGACAGAGGGCGTCATTCCCCATTCATGCTTGTTCTGTTACAGTAATTGTCAAAGTTAATAATAATTAAAGAGTAAATTTTTGGTTGCATCAAGGATGCTTGGTCACTGAAGGAGCTATCCATGCAGCCAGTCGTTGGATCATTGGGGGCAAGAGGCTTGTGAAAAACATAATATACCATTGTGTCCTTTGCCGAAAACTTTGCGTCCACCTCCAAATTCTGAAGATGGCTTGTAGGCCTAGGTGTCTACTCATCCAAATTTCCAGTTTCTCCTCACACCTTCTGTTATCCTCACACAGAAAGTGTGCACCCCTGTCGCTCAATCTTTTGCAGTGTCAATGGCGACAAGTCCAACATCTAGTTAACATATTCTGGGATAACCCATCGTCAATCAGGGTAGCATTGTGCGCCTCAAATATAGCCAGGCCAACAGAAATGAATGGCCAATGTGAATTATTACGCAGGTCTTTCCAAGCAAATGCAAATGCAAAAATAAATTGCAAGGTGGAAATAAAAGCTCCTAGACAAGATGGCACCAAGGTCTTCCGTAGACGCGTAACAGACGCGGATTGTCATACTCCTTCCTCCTGAATCCAAGTAAAAGTAATGTGTCAACAAGCAGTTATTTATTGGTGGTGCTCAATCATGCCAGACGGGGAGTGTTCTGTTACAGTAATTGTCAAAGTTAATAATAATTAAATGATGTTTCATAAACAAAGTTCAGGAGGAGCACGTTCAAATAATCAATCCAATTAACTTATTAACAATCATCATGACTATCCCATCAGCATGAGAGGAAGAATATACTGTATATAGGCACTCAGTTGACTCACCTTCATTCCTTGACAGTTTCAGCATCCCTCCACCACCCCGACACCTCACTCTCGGCTTGTTCCTTCCACAGCCAGGAATACGGGGGGAGTACTCTGGGTTCGGGCCAAATACAGAGCCTGGAGCCCTCTCCTCGGACAGCACGCCAAATACGCATTTATTCTATCTGACTTATTTGTAAGTGAAAGAGTAATCGTGAAAGAGTAATTGTTAGGTTGGTCGTTTGTCTGCCCCTGCTGGCTGTTCTGAGGATAATGCATTATAGCGCTGAAATTATCATGACTGATCAAATGACCACAGGTTGCCTTGGCCTTTAGTACCCTTTACCCTACCCTTATTAAAATCTGGAAAGAGACATTCCGTGTCTGTGAAGTTGATGAGGGAAGTTAAGCTTGCTGTCGAAGTAAACAGAGGATGCATATGGAGGACAGTACAATGTTACTGTGTCCATATTGTGACATTTTCCCCTATTGTGATGATCAAAAAAATAACATCATATGGACCCTTTTCTACAGCACTGAAACTACTGTAAAAAGGGTTCATGTAATGATAAATCATTTCATTCCACTTTCTTAGTTTTCAGAAAAGCTGTTGTTTTAACTACATTTTCAAGCTCAACAATTTTACCCAAACTACTGCATAAGGCAGTTTGTAAAATGTTAGCAATAACCGCAAACCATTGTTTGGTCATAAACTAGCAAAGTGACAGCTTCATCTAGGGTTTATATTTCAATCCTGCAACCAATTTTAGTTAAAAATGGCAAACCTCAGAAATTAGTGGGGTTTAATAGTTTCTGATGCCACAATCATTATTGAATAGCTTAATTAAGCATGAATTAAGGCATATTAGTGCACCCAAAATAACTCATGTAATAACTTAAATGTAATATTTAGTTTGTCCTTTTGAGATTTAATGGAGTTGCTTAACCTTCACAAAATATTTCAATGACAATTTGTAAAACAATAAAAAATAAAAATAAAACAAATAATAAAATAAAACAGTTTTAATAAAGGAACACTATGTAATCTTCACTAATAATGTAACTGTAATCACTAATAATAACCAATTGTAATAACCAATTCTCTTCTTCAGACAAAGTTGAAGCTGAAGGAATGGGGGATTGAAAAGGAAACAAGAGTGGCATGGAGAGTTCAGCCAAATGGAAATGTGTTTTCACGTGCTTGAAAACAAAATATTAGTTATAAGTTAGTAGTAACTTATAGTAAGTTAGTAGTAAGTTGTTTTATCAAATTATTGGGATTTGCAAGAAATTATGGACTTTCTTCTCTCTTACACTCTCCTCATGTGCAGAAGTTTGAGGGGGCAACAGAGGTGGCTCACTTTGACTCCAGCTGTGTTCTCAGAAGGATTGACACTGTTTCAGTACATTAGAACATTATTAGTACATTAAAAAATTTATAATTCTGTTAATTCAGCAGTACACGTAAAAAGTATATTGGTGTATGGTTATGATATATTGTAAACTCTTTCAACAATCTTAAAACATGGCTTAATCACTTTCATTTTAATTGTTAAATTCAAGTTTTATTTCAGTAGAGCTTTGATTTCATTGAACAGTGGGGGTGTCATTCTGTTTCCTGATAAAAATCACTTTTATTTGCTTGTAACAAAACACTTTTTTGTTTGAAAGTTTACTGTACAGCTATATTAATAACATTTGTTTATTTTTTTCTTTATTATTAGTTGAAAAAACTATGACTAGTTATGTTGTTTAAGATAATTTATCTGTATGCCTAAATAAAATAAATAAAATGCTTGAATCACTATTGCACCTTTAATATCAAGTCCCCTTGTAGATATGTATGCACACCACACACATAGAAACTCTTCTTTTTTTTTTTTAACAGGGACAATGTAAAATATACATTAACCTTAAAAAGGAGAGATGCATTATACCAGGTTGTAGCACTTGTGCTAATTTCCACCTGTTGTCCCTGTACTTATGTATATATATATATATATATATATATATATATATATATATATATAATGTATATACTGTATATAATGTACTTTAGGCCTTCTGACAAAAGTTAATTTAGTTCTAATTAGTATTTCTATTTAGTTAGTAATTTAGTTAATGAAGGGTGTAACTTTTCATTATTCATCAACTTTAATTTCACATAAAATTGTGACCAAAAAAAAAAAAACTCTGTTTAGTCATGCATCCTTGGTTCATTGAGATGAGGGAATGCAGTATTGCGTAGCCAAACCTTCAGAATGGTGGCAGAAGGTCTGGACTCCATAGCAGATTTCCTTGGACAAGGACCAACTAGAGGCCATCTGACTGAGATGTTAAACAACCAATCACAGTTTGTTTTGTTCCGCGTCATTTTTAGGGCGTGAAAATATACCGTTGATGTCCCTACAATAACAGACCGGCGGCGTGTTAAACTTTTGAACATATTTTAAAAAGTCTTTGGTGTAAAATTCACATACTTTTGAAAATCCAGTGTTTAGTTGATCGGATCCTGATATGCACTCAAGTCACAATTGTTAACATGGCGGCTTTCTTCTTCCATGAGGGATCGTTAGAAAGCACAACACACGTCTTCAACCAATCAGATGACGACTTTGAAACTCTTGAAGTGTTTCCAATTTTCTGTGCGGTCTGTGGGCATGACGTCTGAGGCTGAGACTAGAGGGCATGAGACATTGCTTAGGTAGCTGAAGCTATAGGGATATTTTATTTCCAATGGTCTATATATTGAGTGCCGCAGAAGACCATCTCTTTAAAATCTTTTGACTATACGGGTGAAGTTCACCACAGTTCAAGCACAGTATCGATTTTGCACGTCCTGATTTTGCCTAGTTTTACGCTTTCCAGGGTCAACATATTTTGTTGATCCTGGAATAACATTACTGTCCGAAAATATATTCCTAATCCTATCCTTACCCCTAAACCTAACCCTACCCATAAGTTATCCCTAAAATCGGAGGGAAATAATAGTTCAATAACACTGATGTAAAAGCACCTAACCCTGGTTGTTAGCCTAAACTTGACATAAATTGTAAACTTGTCCCTCAAATCTGATTGGTTGATTGAAACAGGGTACCCCCAGGATCCTCCGATTTAAATTCAAGACTTTTTAAGACCTTTTTAATACCATTTCAAATTAAATTCAATGCCAACTTCGTACCCATTCCGACAGAAGTATGAGGGGAAAATGTCAAATCTGTATACATTTTAAACCCTAGAAAATAATTATGTACACGTAGGCTACTTGAATTAAACAAAACATTTTATATAAATGATCAGTCATATTTAATACAAATGCAACAGCGTAACACACATTTGATTTGTAATAAACAAATAGATTTAAACTTGATGTTGAAGACTACAGCCTTCGCAGCTCTGCTGCCTTGGTTGCAATTTTTTCACCCAGACTCACAAGTTCTGTCAACTTCTGCTTGTGGCTTCTTCTCAATGCGTTTGACTTGGCAATTAGCTCTGCCATTTTGCTGCCTTGTTTGCCCTCAGCCTCCTCTGCCATCTTGTCTGCATCCCTCTTCAGATGCTCCGCAACTTCCTGGATGGTCTGTCTTGTCTTTTTTAGCTGCTCCAACTCCTCCTCAATCATTATTCTTTTTTGACTATGTGCTTGAGATTCTTTTTTCTTTCGTTCACTTTCGAGATGCATCCTGTACCTCACCCTTGCTGATGTGACTGAAGACAGGAGCTCTGGTGTGAGGGGCACCCTGGTAACACCTCCATGCATGGACACGTAATCACACACAACTCTTTGTGCAATGAAAGTGTCCTCTTGGATATTACAAGTTTCTACTTGTTTATTGATAGAGAAGCCCCTCTCCACCATAGCCTGCCCATGGGAGAGGAGCAGAAGGTTTCTGTTGAAAGCTCAGAGCTGTGAGTAGGGCTGACTTATATAAGGATGGAGAAACACATCCAGCCTCTTCTCGAGGGGCTTGAAGGACAGGAACTTCTCATCCTCACCTCCAGGGACAACAATTGTGAAAATTGCTGAATGATCAGACCACCTAAAGAAAGAGTGAATGAAAAAGCACTCACATATATGTATAATAATTCAATCAAATGTACATGTGTTTCTTTTGTAAATTGTATGCCTAACGTCAGGAGGCATACAATCATCTTATGTACCTGTAGCAACCCCGTCTAACTGCTTGTCTTGGAGAAACCTTTTGACTAGACACTTAATCTGGCCCTGACACAATTCAGGATCCGAATACATCATGGCTGGGTTAAGACAAGTCATTTGTCTTACAGTTGGGAATTTCAAAGGGCTCTTCTCTTGAATCTTCTTCATAATTTTGGACAGACCCTCCATGCATTCCTTTCTGAACTGGAGGACAGAAAGTTCCTCTGTGGATCTACTCTGCCGCTGACGTTCCTAAGGATAAATGGGGACTAAATTAAGTAAATAGCTTCCTCTCCCTCCTCTTTCCTTCTAGCTAATCCAGTGAGGGGCTGAGTAGACCAGTCTAACAACAGGGACACCAGGAACAGCCTGGTTACACATGATGTATTTCCTAAATACCTTTATTGCAGCCTCAGCTCCAATGCCAATATCAACAGCTCTTAGATGAACCCTGGACTGCGTGTCACTAACATCAAGCCGGACCAAATGCTGAGGTGTGGCATCATTGAGAAGTTCTCGTTTGATGAATCGCCTCAGCAAACTCTATGAAAAGACAAAAATATACATATTTAAGAATAAAAAAGTATTTTACAATACACATAACAATGGAAATAAGCACTCTGACTTTACAATGTTTCTTTTCTTCAGTATTATTAAATGAGGCTAATTTATCCTTCTATTCAAAATATTTGCATTTTCAGTTAATTGATTCAGTCTTAGCTGTGGTCTTTCTTAGCGTAACTGTGAATGAGAGGAGATTTTAAAATCACTATGAAAATAAAATGAGAAGATTCAATCTAACCTTCAGCAGTTCAGCCAAGTCATTACCACTGAAAGGCAGCACAGGCTCATCAGTCTGGTATTTGGTAAGGAAAGGTGTTACACTTCGACACACTGCCATGAAAAAGTGAAGCTTTGCCAGAATGAGAGGGTCTTTGGTTGCCGCCTCAATGTTATCATAGGAGGACGTCCCAGGGTTAGGAAGCTTTTTGGTGCTAACAGTCTCAACATACTTCATCATATCTGGCCAGATGACAAGGGCCCTCTCCGCCACTGGGAGGTTCTCGACCCAGCGGTGACCACAAAAAGGCAAAGCGAAGATTTTGGACTTTGTGAGATTACAGAAACCCTCCCGTCTTGCTGGCATGTTGTGTAAAATTGTATGCAGAGCTCTTAGGAACTTCTCCATATGCCAGTCGGTGCACATTTATGTATGTGGGGAGTTTGCAGGCCACAAACTCCTGTTTACACCAGGTCGTTAATTACCTTTATAAGGACAATTTTTAAACCTTACTAAATATATGCATTCTCTTTCATGTCAAATTCTTAAATTTGATCAAATTCAGTTTTAATAATAAGGGCTGTTATCAATCAAATTAATTAATTTACACTGCAAAATTACAACTGTAATAAATATTTGTATGAGATTGATGTTTAAACAACTAATATAAAAAAAAATCAATGATGCCTTTAAACAATAAACCAATAAGTGGCGGCAAGTGACCGTCTTAATAAATGAATCATTGAGTCATTCATTAAAACGATTCGTTCAAAATGCTGAATCATTCAATAACAAAACACAGCGCTTAGTGTTGCTTTTCTTTTGTAACTATTTTCGGCGGTGAAATAGAACAAAACCAGTCAATATTGCGTCTAAATTGTAAGTGATAACATATTAACTGGCTGCTTGTTAATTAAACTATAGATTCAATGTAACATTTGCAATCATTATATTATAGAACAGCTCCTTTAGTCGTGTTATGTTACTTAACTGTATCATATTATAAATAAAAAAACTCAACATGTTTGATCAGGTCCACCGCCGTTGCATGACCCATAAACTGCGAGCCGAAGTATCTTGACTGGACGTGGTCGTCCACCCAGTAGCGAATATGAAGGTCCAACTGCTTACTTTTCATCATCTTATTGAGACTCTCGTCAAACATGACCACAAACCCTTTGGCCATATTGACCTGGCCAGTCAGTTCTTTAGTTATAAAGGGAGTCAACCCGAATTTAGTTATATATGGCGTTTTGTTGCTTCCACACAAGAATGTTGCTGCAAACTCGGAGTCAGGAAACATGGTTTTAAAAATCTCTGTAATGTTCTCATTCGATGTGTAAGAGTGGTGCTACGAGATTGTTTTAAGGACCCACATCACCTCTGCCCGCAGAGTTGGTGTCGAGCCACAGTAAGATAGGATGTTCCTTGGCTGTGGTGGCAATGCTTCTAATAGCAATTTCTTCATTACGGCTAGCCAGAGTTGTATCAGTAACCGGAGAGGTCTGTGGTGCACAGAACTGGACAATTGGTGCCTGGCACTGGCGAGCAGTACTACACGCTGTGTGTTTGGCACCCTTCATATGGGAGTCCAGGGCCATAACATCCATCGTCGCTAGCTTAAAAGATTTTTGGCATCAATAGCAATAGGCCTCTCCCGGTCGTTACCTGGCACAGGCTTGATCCAAACGTAATTTGGATTCCTTGGCCACAGCGGATTAAACCGACACTTTCCCATTTCAGCCGACAATCTAGGCTAGCTACTATCTTGTTCTGTACCTCACTTGCCTAGTAACCATAGTAACGGTTGCGCACGCTTTCTGCTATGACATGGAGCGCGAGGTCCACTCAATGTTACGCTGCATGATTTTTTAATTAGCCTACATTAGTAACATTTAATTTAGTTACAGTATGACCTTAATTCTAGGAAAGGCATAAAAATATAAGACCTTTGTAACGAAATTCAAGACTTTGTATACCAAATTCAAGGCTTTTAAGGTCTAAATGTGAGATTATCAAATTTTTTAAAATTTTCAATGCTTTTAAGACCCCGCGGGTACCCTGCGAAATGTTGTTTCATGATCAACAAAGATGTTGATCCAGGAACATGACTTGGTAAAATCAGGTTCTGCACTGAGGGAACCCTTGCAAAGAGTTTACATGAGGCGCACTAAACCCTTGGACACTTGTGGGTAAATTAAGAGCGAGCACTGCAAGTTGCTGTTGTGATGTCACAATTATGTTGCATTGTGGTCTATGGAGATGCCTGAAATGTACAAACGCATTAAGCCAAATCAAGTCAAGTCACCTTTTTATAGCACTTTACACAATACATATTGTTTCAGAGCAGTTTCACAGTAATAAACTGGAAAATACTGTAATAGCCTAGTGTTAAGGTAATAAATTATACAACATTCAGTTTAACCTGTAAAACAGCTCTATGAAAGACAGTAGTGTAATCATTTAGCTCAAGAAAGTTCACTGTTTATTCAATTCAGTTCAATAACAGTGTTAGTGTTGCAAAGGTCATCAATTATCCAGCTCTATTCATGTCAAGTTTTGTTTTGTGTCAGTAATTCAAATCCATAATATTTTCTGAAGAATAATGGACCTTTATACCCCAAGCCAAAGTGGCAAGGGACCCAAACTCCATCAGGTAACAGAAATTGATAAATGGTTTTCTCATCTAACACAATGACTTTGAAAAATATTTTCTCAAAAGATCTTTTAGAGTCATTGGAAAAGTCTCTTTAATGTTTTAAGTTATTGTAACTGTGACCTTATCTGTCTATCGCCTGTAAACTGTTAGTGTCTTAAGGTTTTGTTTCAATAATTGTTTATGGTTCATTGAACAACCATGATTTTTATTCATTTATTAATAATTAATAATAATAATAATTTATTTATTTTACATACATGCAGGGCCGTGTCTAAAGGGATGGCACCGCAACTCCTACCCCCCGAAATATGATTTCCTTCGTGTACAAAAAAAAAACTTACTACAAAACAGCATAGAATAGTGCATAAGTGCGAATTGGGACACACATCTAGGAACATTCTCTTGCAGTTTATTGTTACTGTCAGGGACTATTTTTGTAGCAGAAGGGTGGAATTGAATGGTTGTACTTCAAAAAAGTAACATTATTACATATAATTTTGACTTTAATATTTGTATTGTGTGGTAAGTAACTGTCAAATCAATAAGGTACTTGAGTGGTATTGTGAGCTCTGCTTTGTTTCGTGACTAACAACGTCCTTCAGCCATGACTGTATTCACAATACAGCACAGCCTTTCATACCTTATTGCTTATAGTTTTATGGCACTTTGTTTTGAAATATTTTTACTTTTTTATTGTTTTATTGTATTTTAATGTTCAGAGTTCTTTTTGTTATTAAAAGTTGTTAGGAGGACAACACTTTTTGTAACTTAATTCAATCCTGTGATATCTTCAGTAATTATTGTGATATTAAAATCACATAGTTGCTGCCTAAGCTGACTTAAATAGCACACTACTGAGTGAACACAGACACAATGTACACCTGCTGCACTCCACAGAAAGCTCTACCATTTGTTTAGAATAAAAATCACATTTTAATTAACCTTAATTGTTTTACAGGATATAATGAACGGGATATAATATTTATCTCCAGTTCACTTACATTTTTTAAAAGAGGTTGGTGTTATATTCCGGTCTTTATACTCACAGACTCCAGAATATATATTGTTTAACACCCAACGGGTGGTGGTTTATTAAGCAATACGTTGGAACACATACAGAGTGAACTAACTGTGTCACAGCATAACATTCGAGCTTCCGCGTGCAACTTAACAAACGGTCCGTGCTGCTGCCATAATAACGGTCCGTGCTACTGCCATAATAACCAAGGATCCGCATCATAACACCGTCCCACATACTAAACAATCACTATTGTTACATCCTTTCTCTTTTGAGACTGAAACTTCAGGTGCTTTCTTAATACCAGCACAACTTAAATGTCATGAATACAGTATTGTATTTTGTTTTCTCTGTAGACTATGAACATACACATTTCTGAAATATATACAAAAAAAAAATATATATATATATATAAAAATAAGCTTACTCTTAACCAATTAGCGTCGGCTCACAACAGACCTACCCTTGTAACATTCCGAACATAGTAACATTCAAAGAGCCTGTCCTTTAAGCTTAATGTGTTACAAAGTCCATGTAGCGCGGTGGTTTCTTCACTATGCGGCCAGACCTGGTAGTGACTGGCACATCATTGCTGGTGTTATCTAAGGTTGTGTCAGAGGTACAGAGTGGAGAGGCGGTCTCCGAGTGTCCAGTGTCATCAATGTCTATGTCTGGGGGTTGGCTGGGGGTCGCTCCAGGTGCCCGTCTGATGTGTCTCCGATTTCTCCTGAGAACATTGCCCGTGTCTAAGTGGACCTCGTAGGACCTTGCATCAATGGGCCTCTGTATGTTACCTAGCCTCCAGACATTGTGTGGTGCCAATGGTTGTACTCGCACACGGTCACCTGGTTTCAGTTCATCTAAATCTCTAGCTGATCTGTCATAGTAGGCACACTGGCGTTGTTGGTTCTTGATCAGATCCTCCTGTGCACTTATGACTTGTGGTTGCAAAAGCCTTGTCTTTGTAGGTAACAGTGTTCTAGTACGGCGGTTCAACAGTCTCTGTGCTGGACTGGACATCAGGCCTTGTGAGGGAGTATTGCGGTGGTCTAGCATAGCAAGATACGGGTCCCGACCTGCAGCTTTGGCTTTGCGCATGAGCATCTTTGCTGTCTTCACGGCTGACTCAGCTTTGCCGTTACTCTGAGGGTAACCTGGGGACGACGTATCGTGTTGGAATTCCCAAAGTCGGCTGAATCTCTGGAATTCTGCGGATACATATTGTGGGCCATTGTCGGAAATTACATTATCTGGGATACCCTGACGAGCGAAATGGGCTTTCAGTTTCTTTATCACTGTTGTCGACTTTGTATCAGACAGGTGATCTATTTCCCAAAAGTTGGAGTAATAGTCTACCGTGATTAGATAATCTCTGTTGTCAAAATTAAAGAGATCCGTTCCCACCTTTGCCCATGGTCTGTTTGGCATCTCATGTGGCTGTAATGTTTCTCTCTGTTGTCTATTGTCCACTGATCTGCAGATGTCACACTTTGCAATATATGTCTTAATTTGATCTGTCATTCCCTGCCAATAGACACACTCTCTAGCCCTCCGTAAACAGCCTTCCATATCTAGATGGGAGGAGTGTAGACGTTGAGTGATCTCTCTCTTTAGTGTGTCAGGGATAACAGCACGTTCACCCCTGAACACTACTCCATCCTGAAACGTCAGTTCTTCCTGGAATGAGAAGTACTGCCTGATTTCCCACGGTGTCTCGATTTTGTCATTTGGCCATCCT